TCTGTTACATACCCTCACTCACACTCCCTCTGAGCAGCATTAATTTATAGCGTCATAATACAATATAATATCGTTAATACATTTTAAGCAAACCCCGCCCTCGTGCTAGGAAATGTTGACCCTTGGTAAGATGTTTTCTCAGAACTTGCTCTCCACGACAAATGTGGACATAGTGCAGAGGTGTCAACCATGAGGCCTGTGAGCTGTGTGCAGCCCATGACACTCCTGAGTGAGGCTCAGACCAGACTGAGATGTAATTGGGAAATATTTAACAAAACATATAGAAATACAATAAAACACAGATAACATCACATTTTTAAAATAAGTCAATATGCAGCCTGCGGGGATCCTCATGTATGTTTTTGTGGCCCCTGTTTCTGTTTGAATTTGGGTAGACATTGACCTGACTTCATTGCCATTGTCAGCACATTCTCTTGGAGTAATTTTCTCTAATGAAACCCTAATATCAGTATTTTTCGTTGTCGTCTCTTTTTTCTAAAAACTAGAATCTAGGAAAAAATCTCATGTTGAGTTTGTTGATATTTTACTGAGGTATAATAATTATAGGGCAGCTAGTGGATAGCATGTGGGACTTGGAGTCAGAAGACCTGAAGCTGAATCCCAGCTCAGACACTTAATAACTGAGTGACCTGGGTCAAGCCATTTAACCTTTTTCAATTTTAGCTGAGAGGTAATAGCAGCTGCCTCTCAGGGTTGCTGTGAAGATCCAGTGATATTGATATCTCATTCCTTATTGATGTTATCATGAGATTGAGATCTCATTCCATAACAAACATATGTAAAGCATTCCACAAGTCTTCAACCTTTAAAAATCTGGCTATTATTAATAACCAGTAAGGCAGGTTGCTCTCTCAGCAGGTTTCATTACCATTATCCAATATTTAATAACTATTTCTCAATTAATTGATGTTTAATGCCATGTCAGTCATTGAGCAGTAGCCTTAAAGGAGTTCCAGTTTTGTAGAGGAGATGAGACATGACCACAAATTACTATGAATAGTACAGAATTACAAACATAGTCCGCTGAGTTAAGATACAAGGTAAATAGAAGCCAGGAATTATCAAAGGGGACTGCAGAATGTTTCTGATGTCATCACCAGCTCTCATCAGTGTTAGTTTCTGATGTAAATGACCTGCAGGGATGGTTTAACCAAGCTACTGGTAGATCAGACTCATTGTGTGCTTACACACACACTCAGACACACATACACGCACATGCAAATGCACTTCTGGCTGGCTGGAGGAAGGCTGGGGCTGAAGTTCTTTTTCTCAGTTATGTTGAACCGTCCGACTCATACTGTGTCCAGGCAGACACTACGTCACATGGTTATCTCTGTTTGCCTTCTATGTATTTCATCATGTTGCCCAACAGCCCTGTTTTTTCCCCAAAGTTAAATGGGGTGAATAGGCACAAGCTGAACTATTTGAAAGAGGCTTATCCCCAGCTGCTGCTCTCTGAGACAAAGAGAAGTATTATTTGAAAGAAAATGAATCTGCGCTGGCTGTGGGTGTTTGTGCTCTTGCATAGACACTGGTCTGTACAGTAATGAATTGGGGAGATCTGAGATGGATTGTGAGGTGGGAGAGTACAGTTCTTTTATCAGGATCCTGCCTTGCCAGGAGGATGATGTCAGTTCTGGAGGCCGTGGCCTGTGGTCAGACAGAAGGAGACCAGTCACTACTAGAGCTGGGCAGCCTGTTCACTGGCTCGGACTGTGGTTTTACTTCTCTCGTTTAGATCCGCACACTGTTAAGGGGAAGGGGAGGCAGCAGAAAACAAACTGTTTTTTAAAGTCTTGGAGGCCACAACAGTTTGTGGTACGATGGAGAACCTTGAATTATGCAGGGTTTATCCTTAAAATGTGTCTTCAGAAATTATGGCAAAGCTATTTTCTGTGCAATTTTGTATCCATTCCCTCCCCTTGTAAATCTGAACACTGGTCCTTTCTCTAATCTTGACCAGAATATTCTTCATAAAGCTGTAACACATTATATTGCTTTGATGAATGTAGGCAATATGGGAAAAACATTAGGCATTGAGTCAAATAAAATAATGTATTTTTAAAGCACTTTGCAAACTTTGAAGTACTATGTAAATGCTAGTGATTATTATTAGAAAAAAAATCCCTCTTCCTTTGCTGCCTAAGAATGATTGACCCAGCTTAAGAACTTGAGTCTTGGAGCCAGGAGACCTGTGTCCAGCCCTGGCTCTAAATCAGAGTCAATCTGGGCAAGTCAATTGACCTTTGCCTCAGTTTCCTCGTCTGTAAAATGAGAATAAAAATGATGCATTGTACTGTGTAATTTTACAGCATTCTTCTAAGGATCAAGTGAGCCAGGCAAATTCATTTTGTAACTTTAAAGTTCTGTGTAAAATTATTATTATTATTATTACTGTTGTTGTTGTTGTTAATCATTATTCAGTGGGTCAGCTCACTATCTTAAATGCATGAGTCCCAACAAGGAGCATACAGTGTGGTTGGGGAGACAGAATTAATGATGAAGTGTGAAATTGTGAAGCTTAGACAAATTCAAATTTATCAGCCAATCCACACAGCCCTGTTGAGGGCATCAGGGCCCAAGGACAAGAGAACCAGGAACACCTCCAGCATTTATTCATGCCTCCACTTAGTGGACCGTGTACATGGGATGCATTGGGACCATTTAGAAGCTTCTCTAGTGCTTAGCCCACAGTAAGTGCTTACTAAATGTTTATTGCTTGACTAATAAGTTAAACAGCATCAGATGAGTGCCTGTCACCACCACCTGGGGGTCAGCCTCTCCCTTCCTAAATCCTACCTGTGCTCTAAAGCTGGACCAAGGTCCTGTCTCCCCTCTGGAGTTTTGCCCAGTCTTTTCCATCTCACACAGATCTCACCCATCTCTAAGCTCTTGTTGTATACCCTTAGTATATTGGAAGGAGCATTGTTCATAGAATCAGAAGACTTAAGCACAAATCCCAGTGTCTGCCCCTTACTACTTGTGTGACCTTGGGAAGGTTGTAGCTTTCCTGGGCCTCAGTTTCTTCATCTGTAAAGTGGGGGTGTTGGTGGCAGGCTGGATGGTTAAGATTTCTTTCTACTTTAAATCCTTTGATAGAATATAGGGATGGTCTGAATTCTGTATGTGACAGACTTAAGTAGGCCTGGATTTCTGAATGTCCCAGGCCAGAACAGGTCCTGGTCTTTTAGACATTTAGTTTGAAATGGAAAGTTCCACTTTAGTTTTGCTGCCAGTGTCTCTAAAAGGAAGCCTGACTTGTGGTGTATTATGGGTCACTATATATTTGCTAGTTTATATCATACTGACTAAATTGGCAACATGTTTATTTTTCCTGGTAAACATTCAGAACGTTTGCTTCTTGCACCTCCTTTCCCCAACAAAATCACGCTTGTCATACGTGCATGAAATAGATGACTGTTAGAAAACCATGCGCGCATCAGTGATGATATGAAAATTAGTGGTAGCAGACAAAGATTTCCTTTCTCAGGGACCACAAGGCCTCAGATGAAGTTGACTTTATCCTAATATTACTCCCAAATTGAGACCAAGTGGAAATAAAAATGGTTCAAGCCTCAGACACCAGTGCTTGGTATGCTAAAATAATTTTACTTTCTGAACTCTTTACTGCCTGTGGGAACACTGATTATTCTTCCCTTGCCAATCTTCTCCTCTTCCCTTTCCCCCCACCCCCACATAAATTAAAACCTTCTAAAAGTGTTGTTTTTACTTTGAGCTTAAAGCAGCTTGTTAAAGGAAAAAAGCACAGAGACCCTGGAATTGGATGATCTTTTTCCAAATCTTGCCTGGGAAGGCTTGGGCAAGTTAAGTTGCTCCCCCTCGGTGAGCCTCAGTTTCCTCATCAGTAAAATGAGGACATTAACCTGGATGGCCTCCGTGATCTCCCCTTGCTGTTTGTTATCTTGTGATCCTAGGAGTATTATGCATATTTAAATGATATGGGTTGTGTTCTTAGCGGAAAAATAAAAGGCTAATTTATTTTTGTTTTCAATAAACGAGAAGTATAGCTTAGCTTAAATAGCCTTGCTATGTGAATGGTCAAGGGCCTAAGTGTTGCACTGGGTTGGAGTTTCACACTAGGTAATTTGTGGATCTTACGCCCACCCTCTTGCTTTGACAATTTCACCTAATTCCAGGCATGTTATGGTTGAAGAAGCCTCATCATCACCTCCATGTTGATGATGTTGAAAGTTGTTGTTTCTCCTCCCATTCCCCCAGGTGCTAGGGCCTTCTCTTCTAAGATTATCTTTCATTTCCTCTGTATATGTCATGTATGTGCCTATTTATTCACAAGTTTTCTTCCTCCTTCTATTGTAAGTTCCCTGAGGGCAGGGACTGTTTTTGCCTTTCTTTGTATCTTTAGTGTCTGGAACACAGTAAGTGCTTAATAAATGCACGTGGGTTGGTTGAGTATACCAAAAATGAAGAAAATGTTTCTTCTTCCTTGATTTTTTTCCCCCATGTAAATAAGTCAACTACTAACTCATAAATTCTTTTTAAACCAAGTAGCATGCCAAAAAGAGCCGTAAAAATGTAACAACCAAGAAGTTAATTTGGCACTCTGGTTTTAATGAGCTCAGTATTGAGTCTGTCCTATACCATGGGCCAGGAATCAAGACCCTTTCAAAACCTGTGTGTTTGATGAGGTTTTGAGATTGCTTATGGTAAACAGGCTCTTTTTCTCCCTGTTATTTTATTCCAACTTTTATTTTTAAACTTTACCCTAAAGACTACTTGTGCTTAAAAAAACACATCTTATATAAAATGGTTCATGCTTGGCTTCTAACCATGCACTGAAACCATGTTCTGAGCATGGCAGGCAGCTGGCCAAAATGCCAAAACTTTCCAGTGGGAACAGTTTTGGAAGGAGCCAGAATTGACTTGGGAGGAGCGGGGGAAGGGATTGAATTGTGGGCACGTGCTTACGCTTGATGATTGCATCTCCTCTCTTCTTGCAGGTGAAGCTGCTCTAAGAGGTGAACCCAGAATGCAAGCCCTTCCCGTGTCCTCTGCCCTCACCAATCATCGGACAGGGCCCCCTCCCATCAGCCCCAGCAAGAGGAAGTTTAGTGTGGAACAAGGGGACGATGATCTAGACTGTGAAAACGACCATGTGTCCAAGATGAGTCGTATCTTCAACCCCCATTTGTGAGTGTCTTCCTTTTGTTTTGTGTAGCCCCACTTGGGCCTCATGCACGCCTCAATCCCAGGATTCTTCAGAGCCACTTGGCTGAGTGCAGCCATCAGGGATTCTGAAGTCAGTCGTTACTCGGTTCTCCTGTTGATAATGCCAAAGGGTGAACAACCCTTTAAGTGAACTAATACAGTGTAAGAAATAATCCGAATGATTGATAAGAGAATTTATTTCTAAATGACTTGTGTGGATATTGATATTCTTTTCAGATTTTGGTATGGCGGCTCTAGCATGCCTTGTGTCTTTCAACCACAACTCCTTGGGTTACTGATCCTGTAGGCTGTGTTCTCTCTTGTCTGTATACATACGTAGGCACATACATACATGTCATACCCATATGGAATGTATCCTTCCTGGGAAAAGTGGAGTTTGATAGATGGGCAGTGTGGCACCCAGGAAGGAAACTCTGATCTACAGTTAGTGAATTTGGGTTCAAATTCTAGCTCTTCTACTTACTGCCTGGATGATCTTGGGCAAATCACGTCATTTCTTTGTACACATCTCCCAATTTGTCATTGGACTAGATGTCCTTTTCAGGTGCCTTTTTTGAACCCAATTCTATGCTAGAGAAGGAAGAAAAGAAAAAAGAAACTTTTCTGTGAAGTTCTTTACAGTTCTTTTTCCTGTAGGGGTACAGAATTTAAACTTACTCTGCTCCGTATGTTAAATATTAGTTCTAGTTCTATGAGATTAATGCTAATGAATGAATGAACAAAAAAGAATTAGGCTTACACACTCACCATATGCCAGGCACATTCAAATGGAGGTGACAACACATTTATGGAACATCTCTACCTATATTTGAGAAGTAATTTCCACTGTACTATATTCTGACTCCTTGTTGTCTTCCCAGCATACACACTCCTTGGAAAGAGAGAGAAATGCTTTACATATTTCCTGGGCCAGGAGACATGGAGCCAGCTGCTCAGCAGAGTCTGGTCTGACAACTGTGTGGGCCCCAGTTGTTATCAGACTTTATTTGTGTGATCACATTCAATCCCTGGCCGTCCATCTGTATAAGATAAAAGGGGTGACGTCTTCTCCGTAGCTCTCAAGGTGCCTTCTTGCTTGTCCAACCTGGCCATTCTCCCTGCTGTGTCAAGGAGGGGGAAGAGGGGCAGAGAGACAAATTGAGAGCTAATTGTTTTGTAATTAATCCACATGCTGCTCTTCCCCAGTTCTTGTTTCTGGGAATGCTTCTATTTCTGGCAGCAATCTGAGGCGCAGAGAGTTCCCCTCTTTCCTTCCTCGCTGGAGGAAGTGATCCTGAGCACTTGAGCAGTCAGAGGTAGCTTGATAAGTAGAGCCTGTTGCCCTGGCCCCGGCAGCCTGCTGCATTCCACACATTCCACCCCACTTTGGCCTGTTGTGTTCAGTCATAAGACACTGACGGAGGTATTTATCTTCAAATAAATCACTGTGGTGTTAGTCAGAGGCTGAGCCTGCAGTCTGTAGCTTTGGAATTTGCTACAAATCAGGAATCCAGGACCAAGGCAATGCAAAACAATGGAATCTCACAAGTGGAGAGGAGGGGGGGGGAAATCTTGTCTGTTTAACTGTTTAGAGTCCTTTGTTCTTTGGGTAGCACGATGTGTGTTCCTTCACAGCCAATGGCATAGTGCAAAGCCTTGAACTTGGTGTCCAGACTTGGGTTCAAGCTCTACTCCATGCCACCTGTATGACCATGACCAAGTTAATGAAACTTTCTAAGCCTCAGTTTCCTCATCTGTAAAATGAGGGGGTTGGACTAGATGCTGTCAGAGGCCTTTTCTTGATTTTTGATGAATCCAAATTGTGTTCCTCTGATACCTTTAACACTTAAAGGTAGCATTTGTAAGTTATTTTGTAATTTTTTTGGGGGGAAGGGGTTGGAAAGTAATTTCAGGATTTCTGTGTTGACTCGAAATATCACCCACCATTGTGTCAATCATAGTACTTTATTTAGCATTAAGTCTGAGGTGACAGAGTTGGAAGGACTAAATTTCATATACTCTTTTCTTTTGGTGTCATATTGAGATAGTTGAAAGCCAAAAATAGCATCACCATACACCAGTTCTCTCATGACAGATCTATGAGTAGAATCTAGGCAAAGAGTGAGGAATAATCTTGTTAAATAGACCCTCAGGTCTCAAAGATTTGCCCTGGAGCTTCACTAGGGGTTCTACTTTAGCATTTAATTAACCTGTATCATCTATTTTCTTTTCCTTCTTTCAACTCATGATTAATTTTAAGGATGTTGCTTAATGCTCTGCTCATGCTTTATAAAAACTTACTGTAGTTTTCATGGGCAAATATTAAGTACGTATTACCTTGCAGTGCTTTTCTGTACCGGCATTTAGTAAATACAATTGTTTGCTTTGATAAAAGTTTTTTTTTTAATTGAAAGCTACAGTGTAGTCCCTTAAAACAAAGGTTTTCTGTAATGACTTACAGACCTCCTTTCTTTTCTTCTGGAGCAGAATTATACTGATGTTGATAGTATACTATATTTAATCTCTATAGGAGTTCATAAAAATATGCTTTTGTTTTTATGCTCTTAAATCTAAGAACTTGTAATAAAATGTGTTTTGTTTATTTTATCATTTACAAAATCATAATAAATCTGGGGAAGAAGCAGTGTTCAAAAACAGATTTGGCAGCTAGCTCAGAGGTTTCAAAGATATATGGTTTGGCTGCATTTCATGAAAACAATTGTATTTAGATAACTTTCCAAACTTAGATCGAGGATCTGGCTTTGTTGAGCACAGAGTAGGAGGCTGCAGAGAGGGTTATTAAATTTCATTGGATTTTATGCTAGAAAAGATGGTACCTCTGAGCTACAAACCAGGAACAGGGCTCTTATTCCTGTCCCTGCTTATTTATCCTCTGGATAGATTTCCCCATCCATACAATGCCCATGAGAAATTTTTTCCCCCACCAAAAGGGAAATTTAGTGTATATATGAAGTCTTTGGCTGGCAAGAAGTACAGTAAGGACAATAATTTTAAAGGGTGGTTCTTGGGTGGGGGTGGGGAACAGAGAAGAGTAAAATCAACCAGATTCTCCCAAGTGTGATCTGTAGATCTCGAATAGTCTGTGAGGATTCTCTGGTTTTACGGATTTTCTTTTGCAGTTTAGCAGCTACTAGTACTACTACTAGTAATAATATGAAAACGTTGCTGTTCTTTCTCAGACCAATTAATGACTTACTTCTTATATGTCTCATTGAAATGAGCTCTAGTCTAATCATTAATTTTGAGGAGCCAGTGGTAAATGGAATAGCTGATCTGGGTGGTATCATATGAGTTTCTTTTAAAGATCAAACATACCTGAATATGGGGTCAGATCCTATTTTCCAACTTTCTTGAATCTTTGCTTTTTCAATCATATGTTGTAATAAGTTTTATTGAAGCCTTTTGCTTTTATATGGTAGTCATTTCTGGAAATAGTAGCTCCCCTAACCCCAAACCTCCCCTGACATTGAATCCTTTCTTACAACTAAGGAGAATAATTAAGCAAAACTACCTGATAGAGAGACCATGTCCGAAAAAGACACAGAAAAGCTCTCTGGAGTTTTGTGGCCCAGTGTCTGAGCTTGTAATTATCATTTCTCCCTGAGAGAAAAGAACTCTGGTAGACTGAGGAGTTAATGTATTATCTTGAATTAAGAAGTTTACTCCTTACTCCCCAATTGAAATAGGCCCAATGATAGTTAAAAGGAAATTCTAAAGTTCATGTGAAATTACTGGGTTGTTTTTTTTTTTTTAAGGAGAATGTGGAATCTATTCATAAATTTGATAATGGCTGTAAATTAGGATTGGTATCTCCCTTTACCTTGAGAAATTGCAAGCCTTAAAAGTGATATATTTGGTGATCTCCAGAGTTCAGATTCTGAAGGTACTGTCAGGATTTATGTAAAGTATTTCCTTTACCCCCATTCCCTGACACACAGAATCCATTTAATCAGGCTCTTTTTTACTTAGTAAAAAGGCTAAGTGTTTTTGTGTCAATAAGAAATTTGAAGTAGCTGGAATAGGTGACTCAAACCAAGTTGATCTGGTGAAAAGAATATCCCAAAAGAGTATTTATTTTAAAGAGACTTCTGGGCTGGCTGACAGGTGGAATTTGATGGGGATACCTCTGAGCTGAAGAGTTTTGGGTACAGTAAATTACACTCCAAACTGAAGTAATTTTCACTGGTTTAAGCATATATTTGTAATGGGGATATGGAGTTGCCCTGTTACATCTATCAATGTTGGAGGTTGGGCATGAATTTACAGTTCACAATTGAAATTTCTTAACATGCTGTCTGTATTCGAAGATAATGCCAATAATCCTTCATCCAGAGCACATGAAGGGTTTTTCTGTCCTCCAGGAGTAGAGATGAGTACTCATTTAGTACACACTCCTTAGCTAAATGGAACTTGTTACCAGTGATATTTGCTGGGAAGGCAAATAGAGTAAGCCATATCTGTGGCTGTGGAATAAAGCAAAACTCACCCCATGTCATAACCTGATAGATTTTGATGAACAAGGAAGGATTGAACGAAAGAAAACACTTCCTTGTCCCACTGGTCAGACTGCTTTGGGGGTGAAATATACCAATTGATGCTTTCTTGGTAACTATAGTCATTTCTTTGGAGTTTTCCCCAAAGTTCATTGAAAATTAGACTTAAAAGATCATCTGACACAGTGATTTCTTAATTATTCAGGAGTGACTTCCAATATCTGGATAATTCCTTTGCTGTTCCTCATCTTTTTTTCTGGATTTTTGTCATTTGCTGAAGGCACAAAATAGGGAGAGAAAAATGAAAAAACAAATAATTTTGTCACTTTTAAACATTGGGGAAACAATGGAAATAGTCACTTTCCTCCCAGTGCCCCAAAGCAACTCTCTAAGACTATAATTAATTAATCAACAAGCATTTATTAGGAATTTAAGTTTCAGGCCCTGTTCTAAGCACTAGGGACAGAA